AGAAGGGGAAAGCGGGAATCTCGCGGATAGAGGGAAGAAACATGAACGAGGATGGAGAATAGGTATGTACAATAATATCCCAACCAACATATACCCAGGCTCTCCCTACTCCCAAGACCCTCCTCCCAAGTCTTCGGCCTCAGAATTTTCGGCAGGTAATGGTACGTCCTATAGAACGTATCCTCATCCGGGTTCGTGAGGTGCCGTTTCCAGAAATTTCGAATATGTAGAACCTGGTATAGGTCAATGGATTCGCCATCATCAGACGCAGTAATAGACGGGACTGTTGTCGACAAGTCGCATGCATATACAATCCTCAAATCATAGTCTGTTCGCAACGAGCGGAAGGAAAGCCGAAGGTCTAGAGCTAGATATGTCGCGGCCAGTTGGATGGCAAAATATGACATACTTTGGGGTTTTGGGCAATCCAAGCAATGGCCAATTATGGGATGATTGAGGATACCAGAGCTCATAATAGCGCCCTTGATTAGAGCGTGATTTCGAGAAACACATTTGTCATGAACTCGCTGGTGTGGCCAGGTATAGGGGGATTCTGCGGAAGAATTAGGTGCACGCTTTTGAAGAAAAAGGGCGGGATGGTTAAGGCCAGTTCAGACAGTTACATACCAACAAACAACGTTGTCAAAACACTCAGCCACAGTTTCTCAATCATTCCTTCCTCGGTTTGAAAAGAAGGCGTCTGAGCCAGAATAATACTGCGCACTTTGTATTCTATCCTAACCTCTTCTGAAGACTTATCTGGAGGTGGATGGTCATATTTGTCTAGAAAACGTGCCCTCCAAACACCAGAATTGGGTGGGTTAATGACCTGCGCAAAATACCGACAGGTACGGGCCATTCGACATAGATCTGAGTCATTTGGAACGAGCATGGCAATCATTTGAATCAACTTGTGGTCTCTACATGTCAGTAGGTCGTAAAAGCTAAATCCGTACATATCAATCAGTTCAAATATCGATACCTCTCTCGGCAAGTCCACCAGGCCAGTCCCTGTCTTCGACATCACGGTCCTTCGGTCGACTCGATCCAAGCTTTCATTCATGGGTTCTTCGAGGGGGAGGTACGCAAGCAGAAGAGCATAAAGGTCGAGCGGCGCCTCACACCCAGCGGCTGAAATGAACGCGGGCTTAAAACGTAAGGTAAATGGACGATAAAAGAGTCAACGGAAAAAGCACACAAGAGTGAATCGCCACGAGAGCACGCTCACGGCTAAGGAACTGATAAAATCAATCCATAAAACACAAGCTCACTGCACTATCCGATGCTTGGACCACTAAGAGGACTCCGGAATCGTTGAGAGAAGCATCCCCCATGGCCAGTCTGACAGTGCACTTTGGAGCAGCAGATATATCTGGGGGTTTCAAAAGAGCTCTGATCCGTTCAAAGGGACGAATTCAGTACTGAGAGTGGGCAATTAATACCAGATAAAGTATCACAGAACCCCTTGGAGAGGCTCAAAATAAAAAGCTGACTCAAAAGCTGAGCGAAAACAAAAATAGAGAAGTGAGCTTCTCATATCGTCAATGGCCTCAGTGTTCCTCAGTGAGGAGTGGTCATCTCATGGATCTTTGATATTCTGTCCGAGATGTTAGCCTGAGAACAGAAATAAAAATAAATGCGATAAAGCACATCAATGGTTCAGAATAAGAGCTCCTTCTCAGTCGTATTCTGTGAGTGAGCTGAGGCGGTTGCTGGGGAGGCGAGAGGATAAGGGAATTGGATAGGGGTGAATCATTGATTGGACAACAGCCCTGGAATTGGGCATAACAAAAATAAAATAAAACTGGAAGTGCATTAATCAATTAGTGGTTAGTGAATGTTCAGTTGATTTTTAATCGAAAGTAAAGAGATCTAAATCTGAGAGCCGGCTACACTTCTGAAGGGCGAGAAAGCATCACCTACCTTCATTGAGCTTGGATCTCCCCAGGTGGGAACAAAACAAAACATGTTTCATCAAAAAGAGATTTGCGCCATGATGCATGAAAGAATCTTTAGTTCTATCCGCCTGAAGCTGCTGTCCAGTCGGGTTGCCTGTCATCACCACATCGAGGTCGAAGAAAGTCCAGGAGGTTGTTGAGAACGCCAAGGGAAGGTTGAGATTGGGAATAATCTTTCACTGGAAACTATCTGAAAAGGCTTAGACGGGCGATCGAAAGCCCACTTGGGTCCATAGACAGACTTACGATGTAGTCCAAGTTCAACGCACCAGATCTGGAGCCCAGCGTAGATCCAAGGTGTTCACGACAGCCCTGCCAGGCCTAGAGATCCAAGTCTACATGGCAGACCTAGAGTTGGCTGAAATAGAACAGCTGTATCTACTCCATACATCACCAGCGCATTTCAACAAAGCCATCATCTACTTGTTCCTCGTCTTCTCCGTCAAATAATCACACAATCCGTATGGCACATCGGCAACTCTAACGAGAGAAAACCCTCCCGCTAATTGGGTTAAAACAGGAAAATAAGTGGCAGCAACAAACAATGACCACATCAAAATTACGTGCTCCATAAAGAGGACAGCCCTGGGACCCGGCATTTTAATTCAAACCTCGTCTCACTTTTGCCTTTTTCATGTCAAACTCTATACACAACGCACAAGAGAGAAAGGGTGGGAGAGAGGTGGAGAAAAGGAAAAAGGAAAGACAATAACACCAACCATGAATAAGTCGGGAAAGAAATGTCGGCTGAAGTTGAGAGGTGGCCGGATGGTGCATTGGAATAAACAAATAATAGCCACAGTGCAGCCCTACCCAAGCTCATGCACCGAACCTACTATCTACCCAACACCCCCTTTTCAATTCCCCCAAGGACCCCGTGGCCTCTTTTTTAAAGGATAGGACATCACAAAGAGGAAAAAGAATAAAGGAATACCCCCCATACTCATATTACCGTGTCGTACATCCAAAGAAAGAATATAACAAGACACACGGGCTTGCTTTTAATTTGTCAACATCATTTCTTCCTTCGTCTCTTTGCTTTCATGGCCGTAGTCTGACATGCAGAAGTTTAATCAAACGATCTTGGGATAGACGAGAGATGGAAACCAAGAGAAATACAATCAAGAAACATATGAAGAGAAGGCAAGGAGGGAAAGGAAGTGGGAAGCAGAAGATGAGGAGAAAAAGAGAAAACATAATTTATAGTGTGTATCCCATGACAAGACAGGACCCCGAAGGGCTGAAAAGGAAAATTAAACCCAGTATACCCATACAAAAATCAAAAAGAAAAAAGGTAAAGAAAAAATTGAAAAAAAGAAACCCTAAACGAGAAATACCAAAAAGGGAAATTAATGAGTGATGGCAAATGCAAATCTGCCAGGAAAAAGAAAAATTGTTAAAAGGCACAAACCCAAAACTATTTCATCAGTGCATAATAGGGCATTTTGGTGTTTCCCAAACGTTGCCGTTTATCATAGTCATTCAATCAAAACAAGCATAAAGCGACGCTACGTGATTTTCGGGGGTGTTGGTCATACAACAGTCATTGCCATACGTTCACAGCCGTCATTTTCGTTGTGTGTAGTGCTGGGTGCGGCAATACTCCGATATCCATTTGTGTTTTTCGCTCGGGCCAATCCCGGAAGACAGCGTGAAGACTCAGTATCACTTTGTGGCCGGGTAAACATTTGACTAAATGGGGGGTCTTGGGGGCGACAGTTAGTTTCGTTTTCGGAACCCATGCACACTCCCTCAGCCTTGCGGACAACTTCCTTGAGGGACCTTGTAACGACGCCGGCTCGAATAACAAGGTCTCGCAGTGACTGGGTGTCAAATGGTAATTTCTGATGTGGGTCTGTGCTGGACGCAATGTTCTCCGTGCCCTGGAGACTACGCTTTTGGTGTATCGTGTCAAGAACAAATTTAGCTTTCAAAGAAGAGTCCGTTCTTGGTCGAGGTGGCGGGGTTATACTAGGATTCGGGTTTATTTTCTTGGAGAGTGGTGATCGACGAGTATCATTATTCGTACGGCCAGATTGGTCGTTAGTTATTCCATTAGAAAAGAAATCGTCATCTGAATCTTAAATGCTAAAAGTGGTTGATGGTAGTTGGTGCTGTGTACTTTATGTGTTCCTTCGTCTTCGTCATCATCCTCTAATGTAGCCG